CGTGTTTTTAATCAAACAGCCTTCTGTGATGTTTTATCCACTGTTCATCTGACACTACTATAATCGTTATTAAGGCAACAATGTCATTTCATTTCTAAATTTTTAATGTCTCTTGAAGGTTAACACTTTTAAATGTGTGTGGATTACAGATGTGCAGCATATAATGTTTACCTTAAAAGTTGTGTGATTAGAAGAGTCGAATTTTGCTCTTCCATCTGGTCTTCCGTTTACTTTCAGGTGACTGAGCTCAATGATGTCCCCGACATAGAGCTCGTTAAGTGCTTCTTCCCGCCACAGTGAGACATCGTGTACTACGGAGCCACATTTCATCCGCAGGTCCAGGATCGGTATGTGAGTGCGAGTCATTCTAGGCACTTCAACCTGGAAAATGACAAAAAGGTAAGTACTATAGTGTTTTTATTTATTTATTTTTTTCTTAATCCTGACACAAGAGTTTACTGTCATTAAGTCGGACTGTATGTTTTGGTGATTTGAAGTGTCAACATTAGCAGAAATCGCCTGTCTAAAGACATGCGGTACAGCTGAATTGGGTAGAGTAAATTGTCTGTTGTGAATGAGTGTATATGTGTATGAGTGGATGTTTTCCAGAGATGGCTGGCAGCTGGAAGGGCATCTGCTGCGTAAAACAAATGCTGGATAAGTTAGCGGTTCATTCTGAAGTAGCGACCCCCAAATTAATAAAGGGACTAAGCCGAAAAGAAAATGAATGAATGAATTCACTTACTTTTTCTAACTGCCCCCGTAGACTCAGGTACCCAGTTTCACTGAAGATATCCTCTTCCTCTCCTGTTATAGGTCGTGAAGGAGGACAGAGGGCCTCCCTTGCAGCTCTTTTAGCCTCCTCACTTATGGCTAGCGGAGCGGTCCTAAATTTGATGGTGCCTTTATTTACAAATAAACATCGGCGGCCATATTTGTTTGAGATGGTTACATTTTTTACAATATATGAGTGTCCCTCTTCAAATTCAGGGTCACTGCCGTTTTTTATGGACAGATAAACTGCATCACCATCCGTAAGGGCACATAAAGATGTGACTTTGTAGGTGTCAACAATTATTTTGTTTTCATGTTTAATAAAGGTCACAGCCTTTTGGCTACTGTGCACTTTAACACAGGTGATGTGCAGTGGTGGTGGGCGGCTGTACGGTGTTGCCATCCTAAGAATAAGAAAAAAAGGTTACTTTGTATTAGTTGTAAATATTATGTAGAATAAATTATAATTTCTTTTTAACCCAATTCATCAATTAAACATATCAATTAATCTAAATCTGTTTGTCTTGACTGGAATGTTGTGCTACATCCTCCTTCAAAATATCATATATTGTGTTTTATAGAAGAGAGAAACTCAAAGATTTGTAAGCATATAAGGGGGGAATAAATTTTTTTTTTTTTTGTGAGGGGGGTATTTATGCTTTTTAAAGATTATTAAATATTTTGCATGGCCAAAGTCTAACAATCTAGGCCCAAATCAAGGCCTTCCTAACATCTCAAGCATAAAGACAATAGGAAAATAATTGGCATACAATGAAGAGTCAAACTCTTTAAAACCAATAATTTACCAAACTTGTCACCAGTAATAGTTAATTTTACCAAATCATGCCCTAGGTGGGTGTGGAATGTCCTGACCTAACTGTCTCAGTCTGCCCATGCATAGTACTGTATAACTATAATCATATTGGCATATCAGAAATAACAATTGGATAATTATAAATAGACACATTTTTACAGAATACCATCGATGCACTGTTTTATGAAACTTGTCACACTATAAGTCCTGACAATATAGTTTATAATGCTGTAATTGTTAAAATGAGGATAAAATACCTGGAAAAAACACTTCCTATCAGATCAAATTCTGTCAGAAAAACTATTATAGTTTACAGATTTCTATTTATTTCTTTAGATTTTGAGATTCTTGGTATGGGATTTCATCGAGGTCTGCAGTGTAGTATACAATTCATTGAAAATCCAGTAATAAATAATGCATTTATTCTTAGGAGTATTAACCTGTGCAGATACTCAGAGCACCGTTAAATATAAGCCACTGTTATTTTTTTTATATTTTATTATAAATTGGGCATATAGTATTACACAATGTTTTATTTATATAGAGCATTTTTCTAAAGTTTTTTTTAATTTTTATTTTATTATAACACAAGAAGTTTGTAAAGGGTTCACTGTGAACATCAGCCTGCTTTCAAGATTTAAGATAAGTCTTTTGTGTCTTCAGAATGTGTCTAAAGTTTCAGCTCAAAATACCCATCAAATTATTTATTATACCTTCCTGGATATATATTAAAAGTCACATGAACATTATTTGAAGTAAAAAGTTAAACACAAACACAGCTGAATGAAATATTGAGTATTATTCAATTATACGACTAGTCTGTAACAGTTAGCAGGGTTTTTCACAGCATTTTTATTGATGAAGTGGTAATTTCTTATTTATTTCAGTCACATTAACTTTTTAAAATTAAAATAAGAATAAAGTAAAAAACTAATTTAGATAAAATTGCCTCAAACACTAAAAACCCCATTCCCGGCGTATAAATGATCATACTATAATTATTAAACTTAACGTTACGCATCCAGCTGTATTCTGACAAGATTTGACTGGACAGAAGTGTTATCTGAGGTATTTAAAAAAAAAACCAAAACCATGTTATTTTATAAAGCATCTGTAGAATTTATAGTATAATATCATAATTTAATTATACTGTAATCATATAAAAGCTAAATAAGAATTAAAAAGCTCTCACCTCAGAAGTATGCTGTCTGTTGTACAACTGAAAGAATTGACAGTGATGTGTATCCAGTCAGAAGCGAGACATCCATCACCAAGGCTCATGACGTCAGATGGAAACCTTTATCGAATGATGTTCATGCATTTTTGTTTATTATTTTTATTCATATAATAAATGTTGATTGACAATGTGGCGCATCCAATCGGAAGCGAGACATCCATCACCAAGGTACATGACGTCAGATGGATGTCCATGTGGATTGACAGTGAGGCGCATCCAATCAGAAGCAAGGCATCCATCACCAAGGGACATGACGTCAGATGGAAACCTTTTATCAAATGATATCCATGTCTTTATTTTTTATTTTATTCATGTAATGTTAATTGTTATTTAAAATTCATTATATGTAGTACATTGAAACATTTCTGAGGTCATAATTCATAAAAATATCACACTGATGTATTCTCTTATTAAATGAGTAATGTTTTACGTTGGTCACTAGAGTGTTAAAAGACGATTGTATGCTTATCAAAACAATTATTACGATTTTGTTTTGAGTTTTATCAGTAACAATACTTATAATTTTAGTTGATATCTTTTATATTTATAATTATGTATTGTACCTTATTTTGTACTAATATTTTTTAGATATAAGCAAGATAAATTTGCGAAATACCTTGGTATTTCTTTAAAAAAAAAAAAAAAAAGGGTAAACAAATATTAACGTAAACATAAGAGCTGGGCCAATGAGACCGCTGGGATTTTCCATAACCTGTCCTTAATCATCCGGTCCGATGGGTCCGCACATTGGGTCTCGCATTTAGGACGATTTCTGAGGTAAATTTTCAATTAAATGTTAAAAA